ACCAGTGCCAAATAATGGCATCGATGAGCATCCTTCTAACTCTGACATGACTAACCGCGCCTTTTTATCAAAACATGCATCTCGTAAGCACTAATAAGCAGGTGGTTGATATTCAGATTTTGTTTTTCGACTAGAGTAGTCATTACCTACACTTATTTCGAGAACAATACAATCTAAAAATCAGTTTCTTCTGCTATCATTTCACCTTCCTTTGATACTATGAGCACATTATGCATTATTAAAATGCTGAATACAGTTCGAAACTCAAACCTCAGAGCATTAGTTTCTTTCTATTGTAATGCATATCCTAATCTTTTTAACGCCTAGTTCATAGAATAAAAAAGTACTTAAATTATCTTCAATCTGAAGAAAAACAAACAACAACTAAGGAATCATTAAATTTTGCATTTTTTGAAGGCATGAACTTCGATAAGATTTAAGGAATGAGATTAAGTGTAGATAATTACTCTTTTATTACTAAAATTAAAAAGCATATACCAGAAAAAACAAGAATATACTTATAAGTTGAATACAATTGGTAGGTAATTAATCTAACACTGCTTTATGAAGTCGTTCTTTTACAGAACAAAAAAGCAAGGACCCCCCCCCCCACCAAAAAAATACTGGACATTTTTATCACTGACTGATAATTAAAAGACAATGATAAGAACAACACAGAGCGTGATATAACTACGCATCGACTGAAGTTAGAACACCTCATATACGTATGCTGAGGCAGAGGTCATCACGGCAGAATACTGAAAATAGTTGAACAGCAAAATATTCACAAAAAATCTCAAGGACAAGAATTACAGACAATATGAACGAAAATAGTAGTAGTGTAGGAATGAGTGGTGATAGAGGGTTAAACAAAGTCTGTGTTGTACAGCAGGATTAGTAGTTTTCAAAAGACGAACAAAAAATGGGAGCATACAGGGATGAGGATGTATAAAATATTAGAATTAAAATGAGTAGAACAGATGACTGCAACGGTTCGAAACTGATCGATTTCACCTAGAGTCAATTTAAGTTACATGTTGAGTTCCACTTACTAAGACCGCACAGTATGTGGTGGTTACAGCTTTCTTCTAAACGTATTCCACTTCATTGAAGATATAGCATTCACCGAAGTAGATGGTAATTTAGCATGTCACAATACCATGTCGCAGTCCATGAGGCTACAAAACTTTAGAAAACAATTTATTCTCCTTACCAGATATCCTGCATTCATCAACTTGATGTGGGTTAAATAGTACACCTCTGTTGGTAGACGGATTATTGCCACAGGGACTGACCGCTAACATAATCGCGGATGTTGTAACAGAACTGAAACCCGTAACTCCTTTGTCAGAAAAAAAGTTTCAGGTTTCAGAGTAGGTCAATCATAGGGGAGAAATTACTAATGACTCAGTCATCGAATAAATGCCATAAGCGTAATAATAAAAATAATCATAGTGATATAATTCATTACTAGAAACTGATGAGTAAAATATTCACATTTTTACATGTACAAGATAGGTTTCAATCTGAATCTTTCTTTTCATTTACAATGAAAGCGTAAACATGACCTAAGTATTCTCTTCTGACCAAAAACATTTCTGTGTTTAATCCCATTGAAGAGCTGTGGGTGAAGAGTGCTGAGAAGTCTCAACTAGGATGTCATAAATCTCAGTCGTTTTCTGTAAGTGATATCAATGCATGTGGACATCTACTTTAAAGTCAATCAATCAATCAATTAATCCCTAACTAATACACAACGACTTAAGGTGAATAGATATAAACATCAAGTCCTAAATTAAAAACAAAAACACCTCAAAAAAAAAGTTGAGGGACGTATCATTATTGATCACCTTTCTTCTTCGAACGATTATGAAGACAAAAGACACAAACAAACGTCAAAAAAGAAGTAAGAAAGTTGAATAAAACGTTAAATTATAGAAATGTACATAAAAGTATGTATTAAAATCAGGGTGGTAAATGGACGTTACATAATAGAACAAAATATGGAATAACAAAAAAGAATGGACAAGCAAATATACAAAAGCAAATGTGCTTTAATATGCTTGAATAAAAAGTTGATAAATGGTTAAATCGAGGTTGAAGCCTTTTGTTGAAATTAATCATTGAAGTTCACACGAAATTTAGCTGTTCGTTAGCATCTAGACAGCTAGAGAATTTAATTAATTAAACCATCATAACAGAATAATCATAGCTGGTCGCCAAATAAGCGAAATGCTACCTTATTAACAAATTGATATGATTGACTGACTGATAGATTGCAACATAGAACTTTGCACAGAAGTGCAGCAGTTCGAGTTGCCACACTTCAAACAACACAAATAGGTAAACAGAAGGAGGAGAACAAAAAGATTCAAAAGGAAGATAATAAAAAGATATATGAGGAAGAGAGGATAATGACATGGAAAAACAATAAGGTCTAATGGATACAGGAGTTCAGAGAGAGTGAGTGCATCTGAGTCATTGATGAAATGACTCAGTTTTTCGAGTGACAGGAAGGATGGAGAAAAATAATTCTATTTCACCAGATCCAACTAAAAAACCATATATTTATTTGAAAACACCAATAACAGTCTGTATGTCTTTTTTGACTACTTAAAATATCATTAGCTAAATATCTCAACCTTATTAACACGTTTCTTCACATAGGAGATCCTCCACGTAATAGTATAATGACTGTTTGGCCCGTTTTTATTCAACGGATCGAAGTAGATATTTGATTTTTATCTAGAATATACAGTCTGTTACTGTATGCAACCAAGTCGTGTAGAGAGTGCATTTTAGCGAATTCACTTGTTGATGATGGACACTTTTTACCCTTTATTCCGTTTACTCATTATTTAAAAGTTAGTTGACACTAAACCTTGTCAGTGTCACTGTACCACAGGCTAATACAAACTAAGTCTTATGTGGGTAATTACTTGACTTTCAGTCAGTGGGTCCGTGACTTGGGTACCGCTCCGGCTACTCCGGTCTAGACAGCTGGATAGTATTATCACTCCCAACGCAGTAGGATTGGTTCAAAACCCGTTACATGAGAAATATACTCTGGCTAACTGAGTTCTAGCAACAACGCTCAACATGCAGCTGCTGCTGTAAAGCAGCTGTGTGGTGATGCTGATCAGATGTGTTATTAAACAAGTAAACAAATACTTATGTAACGTAGGATATGTTACAGATAGCAGGATAGAGGTAGACATTTGCAAATTGAGCGTCATTGGACAGATATATATCACTGGAATCTCAATCAGTCATCTAGGCATGTTCGTTAAGTTTTTGTTTTTTAAGTAATTTTAAAACACATGAACACTGGTAGACTGACACTCAAGATTCCAACGACTGGGCTAAATATCGAAATCGGAGGAGTTTCATGTCGTAACTTAGTTGTGTCATCTAGTGAAAACGAAAGCGAACATATAGTCTGCAGCATATTTTTCTAAGACCAAACGGCTAGTGGTAAGTGAAACAATGAATGACACCTCATCAGATTGAAGGAATGAAGAAGTAAAATGAATATGACGGAACACGATAATATCTTCCGATGTTTCGCACAGTCAGAGACATGCGGATCGCGAATTTCGCTAAATCTATAGAGCTAGTGTCTGGTTACCAATACTCAAGACTTCCCCTATTTATATAAATGGCCCTTTATAGATAAGATTCAGAAAATATGCTTCAAGTGTACGCAGCAGGGAGTTTAGAAAACTTCATGTCCTTTGAAACTAGAGGTTAGTTTTGATGCGAAGGGAAACAAGTCATTTGGGTGCGGTGGTTTAAAAACTAGGCAATAGTGACCGCCAAAACCATTTATATAAGTGTGAACCCACTAACAAAAACTTATTTCTGCAAGCAACATATGAAATATAAAATGGCATGTGCGAGAATATTGCACTCGGGAACATTTTTTCTCAAGGCTTTTGTTTTTACCGAAAGCCAACTAACTGACACAGAATTTGACACGTTTATTAGCGTCATCTTTGCCACAGGCATGCTATCTGACTACCCAATAAAGCGAGCAAATTCAGTGCAACAGCTATCGGCTATGACTGCTGGAGGTGGACCAAATGAAACATGACCATGTTCAATAGCTCATATCAGAAGGATAAGTAAAATTAGCACTGAGGAAGTTAACTGTAGTGTTGAGCACGGAGTACGCTCCCTATGACAAGGAATGTCAGCTAAATTAAAAATAGGTTGCATAGCGAAAAGGTCAGACAAAAAATGAACCAATCTACAAAGTATTTGACTATAGGCTCGAGCCAACAAGGGAGGAGTACAATGTCTGTATAGGGTCTTCAACATGGTTCAGAGTTATTAACAGTAGAACAAATGTCTTGACTCATTGCCAGAACCCTGGTGCAGTGTTCACTGGTCTTCACTAATATTTGCCTTTTTAATATATCATCGTCCCCTGCATTCTTCTCCACTTTCCGGTGTGGAATTGAAACCTGCAGCAACTAGAACTGATGCAATTCTGAGCAAATTTTCATAATGCTAACGCTAAGTTACACTTATTAAAACCAAGTTAAAATAACCCAAATATTTAACACTTTTGGATGTCATTAAAAATCAAGCTGATTAAGTTAAATTGAAACGGTAAAGAAATTAATGGACTCAGTAAATTGAGTGGCGAAGATTCATTTTTAACGGTATGTGAAACTAGTTTATGTGGACAGTCATTCAGAACAATGTGATGGAAAAGCAGACAAGATGTGTGTGCTGTAAGAACAGCTAACTACATGATGTTTTAAAGATAGTAAACTTTTATGAGTAGTTATTTTTTTGGAATTACAACTATATTTAAATACAGCCAAACACATAACAGTCACAATAAAAAAGAACATCATGACAGCCTTTATCTATAAATACAGGATAACATTACATTTACAACTATTTCAGTGTCTTAAAGACAGTTGTCGTTAATAATATAATACTATGAATTATTTTGTTAACTCCTAGTTCTTAGTGTACGAAATGCTTACCTTGCAAGCTTCACATACGTAAGCACGATGATGGAAACCAACTGCTGGTTGACCACAAATTTGGCAAGCTTGATCTTCGGACCGGGTTTGATACTGTACAAAGGCATGTTCCGGAGTAAGGATGGATCCATCGTCATCGGGTAAATAAACTCCATGATACGTACTTGATTTGCAAACAGTAGACGACGTCGGAATGGAGTTATTATTATGATGTAAATCAGTACATGTTTTGTCAGGTGTTTTAGGAGTCACATTTTCTAGTTTATCGTTAGTTGAGTCAGGAGGTACGTTGACAGTGCTTTCCATTTACGATTTAAATGATTCGACACATGTGCAATAGAACGTCCAACTTTTTAGCAGTGAAAACGAAACTAAAAGGTAACTTGAAATGAGACATAAAACCGCTAAACTGTATGACTACAAATAAGCGCATGTATAAATTTTCTGGTGGTAATTAAGTGCAGAGACCTAAGTCATTATAAAACCTCAACGACGAGTGCAGTGTAGGCCATTTACAATGCGTTTTAATTCTGAATAAATTTTCTGTAATCCAAGAACAACGAATAACCAGAGAAGACCTTGAGAAGACCTTGTACTCGCAGATTTAGAATGGGTGCCAAACGAAATTCATTTACGTTGACGCGAAGTAACACCTTAGATAGTCACCATTTCCAATATTTGCTTCTAATGGAAAAACGAGAAAGAATCCTCTTTTTCTATGTATTTCACTAGATTAATAAGAAATTTCAGTTGTTTATACCATGGTTTAATCTCCAGTGTCCGATATCATTGTTAAAAGTTAGTGTAATCCATAGAGAATTTTTTGCTCACTTATCGGTTGTAAGGTGAATGTTCTCGATCTTGAGCAAACATTCCACGTAGTGTATCCAGTCGCTTGACTTCGGTAGCTTCGGTTGACTCTAAAGGGATCAGCTCAGGGATAGGTCATGTTCGGCATCACCAACTAGTGTGTGTCGGTGATATGGATTTGGTTGATACCTTTACCCATTAGTCAACCCGTGTGTTCGAGGTAATGGGTCGTACCAATAGATATGGTTAGTGTAGATTACGTATGTCTGAAAATAAAAATACAGGGGGTTATTGGAATTTAGTAATTAAAGTACTTCAGAAAATAATAAAAGCAAGTGAATGAGTCCCAGGGACAGCAGATTCCAGGCGAAAAGCAATGGCAGCGCAATCGAGTCCTTGCTCCTAATGTGTTGTCCCTAATTAGTTGCCACAACGAAGCCAGTTGTAGCACATTGGTAGAAAACCTTTGCTTGAATGATTCTGGTCAATTGTAATCTTGTGGGCAGTAATAAGGCAACCCCATACCCAATGGCAACTGAGTGTGCGTTTTGCTCTGTATACCCACCACCCTCTTATTCACTAGTCCTTGGGCCACTTCTTAAGGACTGTCGTCCATTTTACGCAAAGGGGAGCCATAACATTTCACACTCTAAGGTGCGGTCGTAGGTACGTTAGGTACAACCTTAAAAAGCCCAGGAGTAGAAACACCTAACTGTCTATGCGCAAAGTGTTTAACCTTGTATGTCTCTCCCAGTATAATTCACGGCGTATGTGTACACAGTTGCATACTCTACATTTTTTCTAGATTGAAATTCATGCCATTGACCAGTATCCAGTCTTCCAGACTTTTGATGTCTGTCTGAAACTTATTTGAGTCTCGCAAACCTTTTATTGATCTCCAAATCTTTGTGTCGTCAACGAAAATAAGAGCTGAGCAGCCTGGACGGCATGGAAATTGAGCAATAAACGATTCTGTGAAACTTCGGATGCCAAACTGTGCCAAGTTGATAGGATACGACTGACTTTGGTGGATTTTTCTATTCCTTCTAGGTAATCCCTCAACCGTGAGAGGAGAGGACCAGTAAATACCCAAATGACTTTGTGAAAGGGAAGATCATACTGAACAGTGCCAAATTTTTTGTGAGATCGAGGAAGACCGCATTAATTGCGGCGTTCATATCGCAGCATGATATCCAATTATTCCATGCCAGTAATTTACTTTGCACAGAATCTACCTCCACTGAAGACTCGCTGTGCTTCATGAAGCATGTTGTTCTTGTCAAAGTATTGCATGTTGTGGTCATCAGTCGGACTTTCCAACATCTCCAAAATTGTTTTCCAGTCCTCCCCTTGAAGATAGGAAATGGATGGCTCTCTTCCACTCCTTCGGCAGATTTTTGAAGCAAAGGGGTGCTGGAACAGGTCATGCAAGAGACTGCAGAGGGCTTCAGTGCACTGTTTCAAAGCAGAAGACGAATGTCATCACAACCTGCGGTCTTTCCAGATGTGAATTTTTGCAACTTCCTCAGTACCATATCGAGTTTGGGAATTCAGTTAGTAGTGAGTCCATCGCTCACACTCATTCAAGCTGCTCGTCTGCGTATGCGTCTACTTCTCTCACTTCACTTTGATCCATGTCTCGTCTGGCCAGAATCATGTCTCTTATACAGACTTTCTCATCACTACTAGCAGGGATTAGCAAGGTTCAACTAATTTCCTTCTCATCCCGCTCATAATACAATGTAGACAACTGATAAGAATATATGCTGAGTATTAAAAGGGTTAAAATTACGAGTAGTGCATGCCAATTTTACAGGCACGATCAGTTATGCTATAAATTATAATCGTGAAGTATCAAAGCCTAATACTTTTCAAAAAGTTTTAATTGTTCGATTATCGTACAAGCAATCAGAACAAGTTCGTATAAGTGTTAAATCGTAAACCTTTCACCACGTTCACCATCGAGGTGGAGTGTCGGCCCAAACATCGTTCTGTTTTTTGCTGATGGTTATGGTCAGCCAGTGGATACCGTATATTTGGGTGAGTGCTATGCCGACACGTGGTTAAAAGCTATTCCAGGAATTGAAGAACGTCCAGGGTAGCTGCGAAATGGCATAAAATACAGGTGTGAGTATTACATCATTGGATGGACATTTAATAATGAGTTTCACTACCTCGCCTTGTTGTGGGGCGGTTAACGAGGAGGCCGCTGGGAGAGGAGTTAATATTTGAACCGGTTGGCTTGTTCTGATGGAGCCGGCCTGTTGTCACTTTTCCCTCAGGTTGTTTTAGGACACTTGGACGGCATCGGCTGTCTTCCTACACCTCCTCAGTGTAAATGAAGCATGGGGACGCATTGTAACCTTGTGGTGAGAGCTGTCTGCTAGCCATATCGGTAGACAGCAATTTACGCTGAATCTGGTACCCTAAGGATGTAGCCAGGCTTAAATCTGTAATGGACTTAGAACTGAAGTTTCCATACGAATTTATATTTTCAGAATATATCACCATACAAATACTGAGGTCTCGCAAGGATATTGCTTTTCTACTCTAAGACTTTCACAGTGATGATTCCAGGATTTTTCTGCACGAAATGTTCACTCCAGTAGGGGTTCTACGATTTTCGTCAAATAGACTAAACTTCAGCCGTTTTACTATCAACGGTGAATTTGTTTGTCTGTGGGGAATGAAACACATGGTTGCCATTCTCATTTTTAGGTGACAAAAACGTGGTGGCTGCATAATGGTGCTATTGTGCTTCTGTATACTCTCTTCATACCATTGTTGATATATACTCTTCGGATCAGCCGTGTTATATTCTCCTCATACTAGTTGGAGCTGTGTTATGAACACCCTGGCCACCAGGTTAGATAGGCGAGGCTAGATTCGGAAGGTGGTGTTTTTAAAGCTCAGGTCTAGAAGAGTATACAGCACTTATGGGCGTTACTTCCAGCCGACGCCGACCGGAAGCGAGCTTGAATTTGTTAAAGCGGTCCAAATAACTGGACAACGAAAGCTTCTTAACAAAATCATAGGACACAGCCAAATCAGAATAACTGGTCTCTGAGACCCACATTTCTTGACTAATGCTCATTCATACTTAATGGCCTATAATTTGTCAAAAAGCTAAAAATTGACAGGGTGGAAAGTTGTCCCACATTAAAGGCACTCGAAGCGGAATAAAATTAGCTGCGTTGCATATGTTATATTGAAGGTTAGAAACAATATGTGAGATACGTTTGCTAGTGAAGTTAGTGCTCTCATACAAGCTACTGGAATGGTTGATTTTTAGTTCATGTTATGACATTGGGCTCACAGATGGTCATAACCTAAAATACAATAAGGGAACTGTTGCCACTTAAACTAAAAAACCCCAGGTAACAGGTATAACTGTCCTTATATGGTGAATTAAGTAACCGACCTACGAAGGAAACTGGAAAAGTGATCCTTCAAAAGGTGTTTGACAAAATAAAGAAAGCTTACGTCATTGACTGCTAGTAAAGTTTCGTATCTAAGGGATTTGGAAATTGCACGCATTTTTATGTAGAATAGGCTAAGGGCCAATATATTTTGCTTGTTTTAAAGCGGGCTTCTGATAATAATGAAAGAGGACTGCTGTTCAGATATAAATCTCAAAGCACATAACAGATGCCGCCCATTAAATGCCTGTCCATTACAACGATCTGTAATCTGTGGCCTGAAAACAGCTCGTTAACTGCATTTCAAGGAAGAGCATGAAAACTACCATGGGTCACTGGTCCGCTGTGCGCTTTTTGGACCCTAATTTATATATTTTCACATAAATTAAGCATTTACATGATTGACATACCATTTGTACAGGCACGATCATATTTGACTAGTGCAATTTGAAATGGAAGCTATCGTCTAAATCTTGAAGTGGAGTATGCAGCCGACTTCCATCACGTCAGTGCAGTCGTCATACAGAATTTCCTGTAATGTGAACCAAACTTTCTGACTACACCAAGTCCTGATTTTAACACTGCAAGCGACTTAAGACATCCCGGCAACATAATTAATAGATTTTCCAGCAGTTTTACTGATTTGGTCACAATTACTCTATCTGTACTCGACATTATTCAGTTACTTATGCCACAATTTCTCCTACATTACTAAGTCTGTTTCCTTATACGCCCAGATAAGTGGACTAAGAATTATTTCTCAGGAGATTAACTGTGACTGTCGCAGTCCTTCCGTGTTCCACCGAAAGTAACATTTCGCGGAATGTGATGATTACAAGACCCAAATCATAAGGACCTAGGTATTTAGTAATATGCACTGATTAACAGTACGTTTGGACAGAATAGAAGGCTGGGGTTATTTAAATAGGAAGTTTTAGAACTTATCTAGCTAGTGTGACTGAACTACGGACTCAGAATGTTTATGTCAACAGCACAAGGGAGAACAGCAGATCTGCATCCAATCCTGGTCGGATGCTTATCCACCGAAGAACTAACTAACCATTATGTCCACTTGCG